TTTCCATGAATGTGCAGCTCCATGTGCTGCTAGAACTTCTCTTTCTATAGAACCATCTCCAGTACAAGTGAAATCTTAGCTTACAATATCTCCATAGAAAGTAAACCCATATTTTCTCTTCCTACTTTTTTACTAAAAATACACTTGAAAAGTGTAAATTAAGCATCCAATTTGATGATACCCTTCGCAAATCTGCTCTGTAACTAAAAAGATACTGTCTCTTTCTGTTGCTGAATTTCCTGTTTCTGTACCCCAGGGGCAGCTGTGGGCCCTGCAATATTTGGTCAGAAACATAAAAACTGTTTTCTGCAAGCTTTATTAATTTTCAAGCCATTTCCTGTTTTCCCTTTGCAGCCAAACCCACCCCTTTTGGCAGGTACTGAAATACAAAAACACCCGATTCACTTTGAGGAAATGTTCTATTACTTGAAAGAGGAGGAGACCCAGAATGATAGCTACAGTTTTTCATGGCTTGCTTTCAGCAAGGCAACTTTGCTTTATTTGAGGTAATCTTTCAGCAAATCACGCTATATCGAATTGCCCGTCTCAGTTTTGAATCATTTAGATAATAGGTTTAGTCTTAGAAAACACTGTAGGTCACAAGCAGAGAGTGTCCACAAAACAAATTCTTCTGGAAGTGAAAAAAGAAAACAAATTCTACTCATAGGTTGCATTTTCCTAACTGATGTTTAGGCAGCTTCTTTTGATATGTAACCCAAAACTGTAGAAACGCTCTTCTGTCCAGTTTGAGACACTGGAGCCCCAGTTTGCATAAGGGACAAGCATGCACAGGCTCAGACAATTTACAGGAGCTCTGCATGCTTGGCACTCCTAAACATCAGTCCTAGAAGACGCAGGTGTCTTCAAAGGGTTTCTAAAAAATCAAACACAAAAAAAATCAAATATTAATTCTGGTAATACAGCTGTTAAAAGTTTAAACCTTGATATATGTAATTCCTTGTGTTCTAGAGATAGCTGTAGTGAAAAGGGGAATCATTCTGGAGATATTTCAGGAAAATGGTAATAATTTTATTGTCATCTGGGATTAAGTACAATTAACAGATTCATGCTACACCTGGAGCTCTGTAACAACAGTCCCTTCTTCTCTCCAGCCCATTTACCCCAGAAGCTGAATCATCATTGTCCCCAGAGTTCACTGTCACACTTTGCCCTACGTAGTATTCCTTACTTTCTGGATTATAGTAATAGTCACTTGCAGGGAAAGGAAATCTGGAGCTGGGTTTTTGCAGTGTAAATGAATTAAATGTACACATGCAGATTATTTCATTCAGCAGAGAAACACAATCAACTCCAGGATAAACTTCCAGACAAATTGCCAATTATAAGGCCAAATCAATACCAGGGAAGAGATTATCATAAAGCACTACACTTTCGGAAGAGTATACTTAGGCAGACTGACCAACCCTAATACTGCAATCTGTTATGCAGAGTCATAGGAATCAAGCTGCGTGGCATCCATCTTAGCAGCAGAGTTATATGGAATCAGTGGCAAGGCTGCCCTTGCTGATGCTGGAGTTGCTGTTTAAAGGTCTGGTTCAAAGCCCATTTATGACAACAGGGAGTCTTCCACTGACTTCAGTGCTCCCGGGTTCACATTGCAACACTGACTGATTCAGGGGAAAACATACCATCCCACACGACTTCTGCCACTGAAGCATGACACTTCACAGGACCTAGTCACTATTTTTCTACTCCCCCAGCTATGTTTCATTCTTTGCTCTCACTGAACTAGAGACAGCCTAAGCCTCTCACAAGGCTGTGCAAATGACTGATACGGTCAGACAGAAAGAACAGATTATGAAATGAAAACATAAGGGCTGCTTGTACTCTAGACCCTTTCCACCTCCTCCCTTAAACCACTGTGATTAAAAACACACAGAGTTGCCTGGAAAAAAAAAAAAAAAAAAGTAAAAAAGTGGGTGACCCATGCACTCATATCCTGGCAATTTGTGGGAATCGTCATAACATGCCCAGAACAAAAAAGACCAAATTACAACATCTCTGCAGTCTCTGCATAGACCTAAACTTCATTTCACTACAGCATTTGAGCACATGCACAGGTCCACTACCAATCAGCAGAAATATGCACTTGCATATAGGTATGTGCTTACCTTCTATTTTGAAATAAATAGACCACATAATTAAATGCTGCTTTAAATGTAGATGGACCATTAAATCAGAACCTTAGATTAACCCCTTTATTTTCACAAAACCTATTGGCTTAACAGAATCATAATACAGTGAACTATAGTTTCATTAAAACCCCTTAATTTGGTACAGTTCAGAGGAAAACTGCTCCCTCCCTTCTCTCTGGCTCCATACTCTCTCCCAAGGGTATATTGGCTCTTCTGAAAGAATTTTGTTGATGTTTTAAATCAGAAGGCTCAGCAATGACTCCCAGCCTTAATCTCCTTACTCAGCAACGCGCTGTCCTCACTAGAAGGCAAGTTCCTGCTGTGGTTGTCCTTAAGGAACAAATTCATCCCGAGATGACAATTAGTAAGACATTCCTAGCTTTTTCACTAACTTGTTTTGCATCTCTAGGCAAATTTCTTTCCCTTTGTTGCACTTTGATACCAGGATAGAAGCTGATTTTATTAAATTCTTCATAGTTCAACAGATTTATCTAAAGAGCTTTTCTTTGAGGAACAGGCTGGAGCAGGAGAAATAGGCTGGTATAGGAGAAACTATTCCTCATTGGGAAGAATAACAAAAATGTTTAGAAGTGCTGAAGTAGCCACTGGAACTTGGACATCTCCAATCTCAAGAGCTCCAGTTCTATACCCAGAATACAGTACGGTTTAAAGGAAGAAATTATTTAATTCAGCAAACAGCTTATCCTTCTTTAGAAAGGCTTTTTCCTAAACCTGAGACAAATTCATTTATAAGAATAATCATAAAAATGAAAAATCTTCAGAGTACCTTTGAAGAAAATTGAATGAAATCCTAAAAATACCTTCTTTTTGTTCCTGATAAGAATTTGTTAACATTAAAAAGTCACTGTTTGTTCCAGTTTGTCTTTCATAGTGTTCTACATTCATTTTTTTTTCTGAAAATACATACAGAATTCCAAACGTTCCATTCTGATAAGGTAAAAAATGATGTGTTTAGTTTTTTCAAAATAAGACCCATTAAAACTGACATACTCCCCTAGCAAATTTCAGTTTCGTGAGTGGCATTTCCCAATAAGAAAACATTCTTTTAAATAAATTTGAAGCAGCATTATTGAGGAATAATTAATCCCAGATTTCAAATTCAAGACATACTGAAAGTTAGCACATGGGAATATTTATTTTACTGTTTTTCTAAAGACAATAAGCCAATATTGCCTGTTGTTTCTTCGCATTAGCATTGACTGTTTTCATCCTACTCTCTTAGTGATCTTCAACAGAAAGAACACAATTATAGCACCATAATTTATACCTCTATCTATCAAATTCCTTTGGCACCTATCACTTTCAAAAGTAAAGAGAAGGCCTGTGGAAGGTGTTGCATTCCCCACCTGCAGCTCTCTTTGCACCACAGTATCACTGCTTACGTTAAGACTTGCTTTGCTCCTTTATAGCACAAAGTGTTGTGGGGTCTTAATGACAGCTCTGACTCACATTCACTGAGCAAAACAACCTAGCCATGTTTTAGGGTTTTTTTTCTTTGTTTGGTTTTGGGTGGGTTTTTTTACTATATGGGTTTTGTTTTTAAAAAAAGACAAAACCTCTCCCACAAGTCTGCCCCACTCTTCGTAGAGGTTACCTCCTCCACAACTGTCAGCAGAAAGGGAACAAATCTATGCTTCTACTGCGACACTATGCCTGACGTCCTAGGGCTGCAGGACTTCAAGGTACAGGAACTGAGGGAGAAGGTCACATACTTCTCACACACACTCAGCTACGTGGCACACTGGTACAGTTAGTTCACATGTGAGCACCAATTAAAACTCACCGCATTCCTAAATAGATGTAAATCAGTGGATTATTACTTGCCAAAGACAAGGGAAGATTCAGAAAAGGATTAATCTAAATAATTGCTCTGCAAGTCCTGCTTCAGCCCTCCTTCCTAACAACCATTATTTGTGAGAAAAAGTATATTACATATGTTGTTAGAGTGTTCATCTAGTCTTGCATAGATGCCATCTATGCAACGCTGATGCGCAGAAGCATATACAAGCCTTGTACAGACCATTGCACAACTGTACTACTAACAGTTACATATGAAAAGGAAAAATCCTCTCTCTCTGTCGGGTGATATGAGCACACTGAGGCCAGCAAGCCTGTGGGCAGAGGTAAATGCTAGACTACAGCAAGGACGTCACTTGAGGACACAAGCCAAGAGAGACACGCAGAAAAATTCAGACACTATTTACTGCAGAATTAAATAACCTGTCCTAAAACTATTTCAGTATCGCTAAATGCACATTCACTACCACACTTGCTCAGATAAACATGGGGGCTCACTTTGAAATGAAAAAAACATCAGTTCACTGCTGGAAATAACAGGAAAAATGTCCTTAGTGTTGTTCCTTAAATATTTTTTAAGGACAGTTTGCAGAAGGGAAGGAACTCCCTTAACACCTCTCTCTGCCTAAATACCCTTTCCCCCTTTGCTAAATAAAAGTCTTCTGAAAGCCACAACAGCTCCTGTAACTTTAAACTGGGCTGAGATCATAATTTTAGTACTGACCAAACAGAGTGCAGAGGGCGGGCCTGGCTCTTCTTTGAGGACCACCTTAGGCATGCTCCCACCCCTCGGCTAAAGAAAATAATGCCGACTCCACTCAGTTTTCTGTAGCTGTATAGTTATCATCTGGGAAAACCTTCCCCCTTTAGACTACAGCAGTTAAAGGAATATTTGGAATACCAAACTATTTTTTTGCATTGATTTCTTTTTGTGATCTCAATTCTCCCCTGCCTCTAAAAAAATTAACCAGAATTTGAATCCATCTGGTCTCAGGATTGGAAAGCTATTCTCTAAGCAGACCAAAGATGTTTATTAAAGTTCAATTCTTCATCTTCGTTCTAGGGAGCGTGCCTTTCATAGCACTTGCTGAAGAAGGTAAGAAGAAACTTTGGTTAAAATTATTTCCAGGCATTTCCTGTAATTTAACAGTTTGTGTGCTTACTCATAGGCAATATAGTTGCTCTGTCCTGTTTATAAAACTTTCTTTTGAATTCTTAAGCTACTATTGGGCATCTACTATGGCTGTAATCAGGAAAGAAACACATCAAAACTTTTCAGATGGCTGAGTTGTGCTCTGTTAGAAAAGAATTTTCTGTGTGTGTCTGTAAGGGGAGGAGAACGGTACAAGCAGTCTGGGAAGGCATTACATCAACAGCCCTTGGCAATGTCTTCAGCTTCACTGTAATATATGCAAAGGAGACTGCAAGCAGTAATTTAGTTGTAGCTGACATTTAGGTGGTGAAACTCTCTATGAAAGTAACTTGTAAATCTTTCCATTCAGAGTTTAGCTTCTGTACTTGGAGGCATTACAACAGCTTAGAATTTGAGCCTTATATGCATGGTTTTGTTAATACTGTCTTAGCCATAAGCAATATGTACAAGTGAGGGAAACTAAAATTTGAAAAGCATTACATATCTACTCAGAAGTTGTTCATTTGGCAAACTATTTCTTTTGAATTTTATAAGAAAAATACAATATACACTTTCAGGTAAAACAGATGATTAAGTCTATTTACTGCTAAAGGAGAAGAGTCTGATTTATTAACAGTGAATCAGAATTACCCTGAGCAGTACTTGATTCCAGGAACATCACATACAAATTCTGTCTTTCTGCGTAGTATTCGAGTCATTATGAATGAACTTGCCATCAGGCGATGTGCCTAATGTATGATGTATGTGCAACCAGAAAGTACGCCTGTAGTGGTGAAATACAGCTACCGTTGCTACGGAACATGTTCCAAGTGCTAGCACTCTGAGAAAATAACCTGAAACTCAACCCACTAGTCTTCCAAAGCATAAATCTGCTTATCTGACTTGGATTTGGGGACCCTAACTGAAATATATGACCTTGTTTTGGCCTGGTGACAGTCAGTATCGTTCTGCTGGAAATAATGGAGCTATATCAATATACAGTATGTGTGGATGTTGGCTTGAAACTTCTAATGGGAATTCCTGGTGATCTGTATGTCAGAATATGAGGCTGCAAGTGTGGAGTTATGCTTCAAAATCTCACAGAAAATCTAAGATCAACAGACATTAGGTAAGTCCCAGATACTACTTCCTAGGCTTTCTCTGGGATAAGCACTTATGGCTCACCCAGCTAGCTTGTCCTTAAAAAGCATCAATACTAAATGTAGCAAAGTTTAAAGCCATTAAAAATGAGGCAAAACCCACCACCATTTGATAGAATTACCTTAAGCAGTTTCTAGGATACCAGAATTACAGGTCTTTCATCTTAAGGCTTTCGGGGAATTTTTAAGCATATTTTCTCTCAACTCAGACTTGAGCAACGATCAGGTTGAAATCCTACTAGCCAGAAAAATGTCAAAATATTTCCTGCTTGCAAAAGTCTACCTCTGTTTTATTACCAGTATAGTTTGCATCCACAGTTGGATCTAGAACATAGTTTACAGTATCTAAGGCTTTCTCTGTGTGTTTAGGTTTTATGACTTTTTCTTCACATGGGACCAATCATTTAGGGTAACTGCCAAAGGATACACTGGGAAAAGAGACTTCAGCTATAAAATAAGCAAGTCTCAAATATTTAGCGTGGGTATCACTGCTGTTTACTGATAACCATCAGCAGTTACAAGCTAGAACAGACTTAAAATGACAATGCCACCTTCAGCAATCTGTGACTGCACTGACAATGGAGATGGAGAATTTTTTTGGCTTATATGGTACTAGGAGGAGTTCAGATACCTGAACCTCTGGAGTAGACAATTTGGCCTGAGGATTTTAGAGAAAAAATGCCTCCTTGTCAGGTTCTGATACCTCTTAACCCTGATCAGGCCATAAATAAATCTCCAGCTACCCTTTTGTTGTATTTGGGCACTCCATTTTCTGGACTGAGACTGAATCAAGAAAAGCAGGTTTGTTTCGATCAGGAAGCATATTTCCAAAAGGAATATTATTGGTTCCAAATTCCTCCTTGAATTGCTAAATAAACTGAATTCAGCTCTTGATCCTAGTTGTAAGCATAGCATTTTCCCCCTTCCAGGTAATGAACCACAATTTGAGAAATTTCATTAGCATCTGCTGTCTTTGAGTTGCTGTAACTTTACAAAAAAGCCAGAGGTGCAGAAACCATTTCAGGACAACTGTGAACTAGAAACGTGATTGAAAAATAGCAGTTACCACTGACCCAATAACAGGACTATCAGCCAACCTATGAACAACATTTCAGTGAAAACCTATGAATCTTAAGGGAGAAGTCAGAAATGCGTAAACTTTCACTGCTCACAGAGAACATCAAAATTACATCTAACATTAGTAAATTAAAAATGAAGGAAGATTTCTCTTGAAATTTCCTGGATTTGTGGTACTCTTCACAGGAATGTTTGGTCCCAGTCAGCAATGTGGTTTCCAAAAAAAATAGTAAAAGCTTCTTTAATTGGGTCACATAAAGTAAGACATAGCAAAGCTGTAAAAGCATACAATACAATATTGCTGTGGAAGAGGAGAAGAAAATTAACTGATTAATTAATTTTGTTCTTCATATGTAAATTTCCAAATAAAATTAATGGCAGAAATTAGCAAAAAATACAGAAGGAAAACGTAGTAACAACTCTCACATGACTATCTACTTAAGACACATTCGGACATGCTCTAATTGTGTTATCTATTCATGGTTTAAATCCTGACTGAGACACCCAAGTATTTTATCTTTCTTACAACCCTGAGCACTATTCAAGCTGATGAATTTTTAGACTAAAGCATTTCCTATCGAACGATTAGCAGATACATATTTGTCCTTCAGTGATCCCGTTCAGCATATAAAAACTCAGGCAAATCTTAGCACCAATGCTAAGGATCAGACCAAATGAGTTGAAATGGAAGCTGGCCTAAAATTTTCTTGGGCACAGCATTAATCAAACAATTAAAAGCACGAGCATTCAAATGAGTGCTTTACAGAGGCAACACATTTCCTAAGTTGAAACCTTTCCCATGGTGCAAGTATCATCGCAGAGAAGGAGATTACTTTATTGGCTGTCACATAACATGAACAAAAATTAACCTGATTGTTAAACAAGTTATCACATATCACTTGAGCTGTACCAACTGTCCACGTGCCTAATCTTACCTAGAGGCAAATACTAGATTATAACTCCTTATGCAAGTCTCAAAATTAAACAGGTTTATGCTCGGTCATGTTACTTTCCATTTGTTTTGGACAAAAAGTAAGCACGTGGACAGGATACTTCAGATGAAAGGTGTTTATATGGTAAGAAAGGAAATTGAAGTTTACAGACAACCACAAAAGACTAAAAACTTTTCTATGATTTTCAAAATCATAAAAACCAGATTTGACAAAATCACAAGACAGGATTTTTTCAAAAGTATCTTGATTTACCCAAACTCCACTGCCAGTTCAGTGGCAAAAATAAACAATAAAGGCACACCACTCTCAACTCTTCTGAAACTCAAATTCTGTAACTGCTGGTAATAAATAAAATGAACAGTCACATGTGACTCCAAAAGGCAGCCAGTTTTCTACTAAATAAGCATGACAAAACCTTTAAGCCTGCATCCGACTGCATCATGAATGACGATTGCACTTGCATACGTGTCCCCATATATGCCTCTTGTAAACTACATTAGCATGATATGAACCTAGCTCTGCATGTCCAATACTCAAAACTTAATTAGCACAAAAAGGAAAAAAACATCTTACTAGATCTCAATCAGTGGGTCTGCAAATTAGTGAGTCTGTATTTTGCAGTGGCTTGGTAAGAGAGCAGCAGAGAACAGATAAAATTTGCTTTCTCCTCTTCATTAGGAAAGCAGAGAGGTTTGCTCTTCTGTATCTCAAAATTTAGTTTTTGAATGTGTGTAGCTTTACAAGCAACAGAAATTGTCATATTTGAAAGCTAACAAGTGGGCCTTTCATTAACTCAGGCTGCACAGTGAAAACTGGGAACAGAGAGGCTAGATTCTCAGCTCCTGTAATCCACTGAACCCATGCATTTACCCCAGATCTAGTACTTGTAAATCATCTGCAAAAATAAGCAGCTGAGAACCTAGAGAGATAAAAGAGCATTTAATAGATAATAAAAAAACAGTAAAGGAAGGATAGCCCACAGCATGGAGGCTGTTGGGCTCCAACAGAAGCATGCAGTGTTTCCTCCTTGTCTCATTTGAGGCAAGCCATACATACATGCGTACCACAGAAATGACTACTGTTTGCCCAGCTCTAACATATGGTCTGTCTCAGTTGCACGTTTGTTTTGTTGGTTTGTTTGCTTTTTGTCTGGATGTGGTCAGGGCCTACAGGATGGAACCCAAATGTTGCCAGGTCCTACTATTCACTGCATCCCAGATCCATGCTGCAGATGGGCAGCCTTGAAAAGGGCCTCCTCCGATTTGTGTGTGCACATACCATACCCTCAGTTTGAAATAACACCGCAGCAAAGTGCACATAGCTGTGTAGCGCACAACTTGCTACACAGCATTTCAGGAAAAGATGTAGGATTGGGAGAATAGGTATGTTGGGATATTCTAAAGAGAAACACATGAGAAAAACAAGACACAAATTTACTATTGTAAACACTGTCTCAGAAGCCTGGCCAAAGACTCTCAAAGGAAATATAAACTGTGATGCTGTGCACATTCTCATGTTGCTTTATGACTTCCTTGTGTTTTTCCATCTTTGTATTTGTTGATCACAAACACTACAACATCCAGCATAAATTCCATCAGAATAATCCTCTGTGGAGGCACAGTTCAGCTCTGTACACCATTTCAGACAAACATGTAATCTTTGGAGGGCTTGTATATGAGCTGCTGCTAAATCTGTAAAGGGGACATACTTAATTCCATACGCATGTTAAAATGTTTTTATGACTATGAAACCCATCCAAGTATTAGCTAGTATG